AGCATCATTTTAGTTTTTATTACTTTAAGAAGTCATCTTAACATGATAAAATTTGATGGTATGTCTTATTGCTGTTATGTTTTAAGTGGATGCAAAAGAAACCCAGAACTATTCACTTCTAATTGTGAATGGAATATGGTTTGTTTAGATATCAGGGCTGTGGAGTCAGAGTTGGGAGGAATTTCTGGCCAAAGAAGTCAAAGTCCAAAAAAAATGTGTTGACTCTGACTCCCACATTTTAAACTTACTTTTTTTTTTTTATTTAAATGAAAGAAAATTTATTATATATTTATTAATTTTTAAAAATATTTTAATATTTTGTAATAATCCATTTATTTTAAATACAAAATACATCAATTTAATTTATTAAATTTGTAATGTTCTTTGTAGTATTTGTGTTTAGTAGTAAAATTATTTTGATCCAATTGAATTTAAATATTTTGGATCATTCCTTTATTGTCCCTGTTCTAAATAAGTACTCTATTTTTCTGAATGAACCAGACTAATTGATCAGAGTTCATATTTTTATTTTCTGAACAAGGGGCTGAAGTAGCTAGATCGCACACTTTTTAATTGAACTAACAGCAACATTCTGTGACAAGGGGATGGAAAAACTCATCCACAGATATGACAAATGCCTCAATCTTCACGGTGATTATGTCAAAAAGTAAGCATGTCTGTACCTAACTTTTGGTAATAAATTCATTTTGTTATTTACAATTGTCTTTTTTTTTAATGGACTATCAGAGCTTGAAAAACAGCCTATGTATAAAACTATTTGGCCAGAGCTCCTTTTAGAGTTCAGAGTAGGATACCCCTATGAGCGCCTCTGCCCCTCATAAAATGATTTGGTATTTAATTTTGCCAGGGTCGGAGTTGGCCCACTAAAATTTTATTTACCGACTTGCAGCCCTGTTCAATATCCATCAACTCTCTAATAAACATATCCAAACTGCTTTTTCTTTAAAATGTTTCAGAATAGATAATCAATAATGATTAATAGTGTCTGACTATGACAAGGTATCAGAACAATATGACAAGACTTCTTCACATTTGTTATTGAGAAATTTGGAAGTTTGTTACAATGACAGATCCAGATAATTCTTAGAGGAGTGATTTAATTGTGATATTTTATTTATACAAAATTGTAGATACTCAACCACATTTGAAGCCTACTCAAATTATACTGAGGGAATGTTGCATATTTTGTGAGCAATTGATTTCATTTTTATTATTAACTTTTTTTTAACATTTTTAATATTCACTTTAACATTTTTATAATTTGAGATTAGAGAAGAGTAAATAACTTGCTGAAAATTAGTTTCATTTTTAATTTTTGAGCACTAATGTGGCCAATCTGAGTTATAATTAAATACAAATAAGTTTACAAGTTATTGTTATATAGTGTGTATTTATTGTCTATTATGGTATTACATTTAAGATTTAATTATTATACCATGCCATTAACAAGTGATTGTTTTGGTTCTAAAATAATTTATATATATATTTTAACAGAAACAGTTTTTGCTGACAAAAAAAAGTTTATTGTCATATAATTTGTACAAGTTTACATCATTGTTTAATTGCTAAAGTGCATCAACAATGAAATGATACAATTCTTTGGATATTTATTAATTACTTAAACAATTAAGCAATGATGCAAACTTGCACAAATTACTGTAAATAGCAATAAACTTATAGGCAGGAAATGATAGTAAATGCTAGAAAAAGCATATTATTATCCCTAAATAGGATATATATTCTTGAAATCTTTTAAATACTTTTATAATTGTTATATAAACTAACTTAAGAACTGTAACATGCTATGTAGCAATATATGCAATTTATAACTTCAAGAAATTTAATGTAATTACTGATCTTGTAATTATCATTAAAAATACCCCATGGGAAATTATACACTTATTTTCTAAAACATAAATATCTATTTTATTAATTGATTTGAAATTCTAATTTCATATAAATTAGTGATCTTAAACTGTTAGTGGTCAAGAGTCTGTGAATACATTTTTATGAAAATTTATTCAATATCAACAGAAAATCTTCATAAAATAAAATCAAAAAAAGAAATAAGCACATAAAAATTTAAAAAACACTAAGCCTTTAAATAATGTTTTATTATTTTTTATTAAATAAAAATCTAAAAAAAGTAGACGTAAAGATCTGCCTAAATATCCATTTATATGTTACCGCTAAAGCTCGAAATCCGTTAAGGTGCGCATTACTTAGCTAATCTGCAGATTAACTAGGGTGATCCGTTAAAGCTGCGAAAATTATTCCATTTCTCAAATTACCTAGGTAATGTTCAGATTATCTAGGTAATCTGCAAATTACCTACTAGGCACTTGGTAAAGTGAAAATAAGATTTTTGCTGGAACAACAGCAACGTTTCTGTACGCTTAAATTAACATAATGTTATTTATTTAATTTTCAATATCTAAAGAATCAAGTTAATACAATCAACAAATTAGTTGATTGAATCAATCATCAATCAATTAAAAAAAC